CATCCCCTGCATGCTTTTGTGTGCTGCAGTGTGCAGATGTTTGAAGCCTGATCGACCTGTTGTGTTGGCCTGCATGCAGTGATGGATCAGCAGCTTTTCCTTTCAAAAGATCCTTCGAGTTTGGCAGAGCCAATCGTGTCATGGCGTACACAGCAGTGGCAACCCTCACCGGATGCACGCTGGAGGGCCTAGGCATGTGCCATGAAGAAGGACCGCAGGCTTACCAGGTTTTCGATCAGACCTCACACATATATATATATATATATTGCGAGCAGCAGAACCATATGGCCCATGCTCCTTTGCAGGACTTGTGAAGATGCAGGATACTTTTTGGTATGCCTGCACGAAGGCGATCTACCAGGCCATGCATGCATTGGGAATGATTCTGTATGTTAGTTGCATGGCTGTTCAACTGATACTTTCATTTGCCATCGGGGGTTACTTTGCAGAGGGGGAGCCTGCCACGGGCGATGTGCTGATCCGCGATGTGGTGGAGAACATTCGACATGGGGGAATTTGTCTCCACTTTAAGTCTGTCTTCCGAGCCCACGGCGACTCCCACAGCATTGTCTAAGACATATATTAATGCCAATTTTGGAGTTTTGCGACCTGTTGCTACAGCTCCATTGTCCTGTCTTGCAGCCCAGGCATTCGGCGCTCCTTCGAAGAAGCTTATGCTGACAACCTGGAGTGATCGAGCTTTTGGCTGCTTGGTCAGGGTCGCACATGTGCCCCAGATGATGGTGTGGAAGCCAGGGGTTGGTTGGGCAGCACATGGACTGGGGCTTGAGCATGCAATGGTGTGCCGGGGAAAGAAAAGCCCATGCAATTATGCATGCTGTATCTGTGGTTCAACACATGTGGTGCGGCATGTGCAAGTGGACTGTTCCAACGCAGGTTTGTGCAGTGGTGTGCTGCTGGGCGCCTGGCTCAGCGATCGGCGGTGAAGGTCGGGCAGGGGCATGTTGCAGATTGTTCCTCACATATCATGAACTCACTACAGCTGCTGTGTTAGGATCATTTCCAGGAACACACGCATATATTGGTCTCTGGTTGGAGGCCTTGTATGCTGCTTTTCTTCCTCCTCCTGTGTCTCTTCGATTTGGAGGCCGGAAGTATGAAGCAACACAATGTGCAGTATTCTATATGTGGAGGTTCACATTGTGTGCTGCAGTTGTCCATATAGTACATGTGACATCCTGCGTGATAGATATATATATATATATGCTATATTCATATATAACCCCAATAAAAAAATATAGGTATTGTAAGTACATGATCAACTCAAACCCAAAATACCTAAACTGTCTGTTCTCATGTGGCATATGATGCTGATGTTGTTTCCCACGCATTCTCTGCATGTGGCGAGAAGAGGTGATATTGCAGATTCTGTCAGTGAGTGGTTGAACTGCAGAATCCATGTCTTCCGATTGCATGTTTGCTGGTGAAAGATGATGGCTGCACATGCAAGCGCAGATGAACTTTCTCTTGTACACCCGGCAGGTGACCTTTGCTGTGGCCTCTTCTGAGGTGCCACTGGTGCTTGGGCAGGTCAGATCCACACGCACACATGTCCTGCATGTTAGCTTCGGGGTGATGGGGTTGTGTCATTTCGAAGCACTCGATGCATCGACTTGATGATCACGACTGGATTGTACATAATATTTGTCGTATATAGATATAAAATAATATGCCATGCAGGCAAACTATACGAGCATGTTTTGGTATCGACCCGGATATACCGTATTCCACGCATTTTGTGTGCAAGCGAACTCCTGCAGGTATACTAGCATGCATGCACTTTGGTATCGACCACATCAGCAGGCAAGGTGGCAATTAACCACCGATGAACTCATATATATATATATATATGATTTAAAAGAAACATATGAAATAAACTATAAAAATAGCATATATATATATGTATATTATATATATGGTGTATATATATATATTGCATGACAAATCTGGGTGCCATGCAGGTGACTTCCTGGGACTACATAGGAGTGTCGTATCGGCCACATCAGCAGGCCGGGCACCGATCGATTGCAGTTTCTGCACCGTGTTTGTGTGTATAATATGTGTATATCTGAGATAGATCATGGCGCCAGGTGACTTCCCGGGACTACATAGGACTGTGGTATCGGCCACATCAGCAGGCCGGGTGTCGATCGACTGCAGTTTCTGCACCATGTGTGTACGATGCATACAAACTAAACAATGAAACAATCCAGGATTACACCTAAAACCTGTATAATCTTCAAACCCACTAGACCCTATAGATTAATTCTTGTGTCTGCTCGTATGTCTGCACGAATACACACCTGTAAGATGCGATATACAATATATATATATATATACATAATATATACAGATCATAGACAGAAAAACCCAATTATCGATCTACCCACCTGTGTGCCTATATCTGCCCTAAACCATAAACCCTAAACCCTAAACCCTAAACCCTAAACCCTAAACCCTAAACCCTAAATATAAGGGTATAATTTCACATGATGCTGTGAGGCGACTCCCTGGCTCCTTGCTTCTTTCTTCAGTGGGCAGGCCAGGTGCTCGATCTCGGGTTCAGCTTTAAGCGGCACATTGCTACCTGAACTTTTATATGGTCTATCCCTGAAGACATATAATGTCAGTGCACGCACCCATGTTGCCAGAACTAACATCCATGCAGGGAACCCTTGGTGTGCATGTGGATCCAGCATCCTGTGACAACCCATATATAAATATTTAGACTGTGACCCTATGTTGCATGGCTCTCTTCCATCAGCATCCATCCAGTCAGGTGAAGTGGGGCCATCTCTCCTTGGATCCAGACCAAGGCAGGGGTCTGCGATGAGCAATGCTTGCATGTCTAGGGTCAGGATCGTGTGTGCGAAAATAATCATGCAGTTGTGTTCTGTCATCCAGCAAGAGTGCACCTATATATAACTGTCGATGTCGATGCTCCGACGCAGCATATCTGCCTGGCTCGGCTTCCTTCTTGACAGCTGTCCTCTGATGGGTATGGTGCACATGTTAGATCAACCATATCTTTCATGTTGAGGTCATTGTTATACAAGCTTGCATCAGGGCTTTTCTGGACTCCGGAAACAATCGCTCCTGTGGGCTTATAGGTTGCATCTTCGTTCGAGGGACCATGGCGGACCCACGGAACGATGCAGGCAAGTGGCCTGCATCTTGGCCACCAAAATATGCGCTGGCGAAAAAGTGGGACGAGCACGTCGTCCTGCGTGAGCACTCGGGCTGCTCTATAGTAGCCGCCATAATGTATGATCCAGAACTGTGCTCTTTCGTTCTCTCTCCCTTTTCTCTCTTGCTCTGTCCTTCATACACTATAAAATATTCTGTGCCATCATTATACCATATGTTCCAATTATATAATCGGTTCAGATTTCAGTTGCACCCCAGGCAAATGCGCTGCTCTGGAAAGCTCTTGGTCTGGGAGAATCCAGCCAGTACTGGTGTGGCAAACAAATCGAGCCTTCGGCTGAACCGCTTCGCCATTGAAGCTGTTCTCAATGTCTGGGTCGAGACCTGTGATGCTCCCAAGTCCCCACCCATTGGATGGGTGCGAGCAGAGGCTGCACGAGAGTCTACACTTTAATGACAAAGTTCCACATAGGTTGAGGGGGTTGCCTGCTGTACATTCCGATCATGAACCCTAAGCCCTAAACCCCATATATCTATATATGGGCCAGCATGCAATAATATATAAGTTTGACCTGTAATTATTGTATATAGGGTTTAAAGTTTAGGGTTTAGGGTTTATATATAATTGTGGTTTCAAAACATACCTGCAAAGGTGCGCAAGATCCACGAGATGCTGACTGCCAAACCCGATCTGGTCAACCAGTACGTTGACGATTGGGGGGCCAAGCGGCTCACGAGCTGGGCGATAAGAAGGTTCAGAACTGGCCAAACCAATTTCAGAGATGCTGGGTAACCATCTAGACAATTCCTTTAAAGTGTTTCTGTCATTATACTGAACAGGCGCCTATTGTTTTATGACCTCTGAAACTATAGATTGCCCAGGATGCTACATTGCAACCACTGATGGACATTATGTGTGCCAGGTGGGATGTTCCTGCAGGTGATGATGACGATGATGATGACACTCCTCCTGGACCTGCACCTTTGCCTGGACCACATGGACATCATGCAGCAGCTGTGGCAGATGCAGGAGATGATTCAGGTGCTGGGGCTGATTCAGTTCATGGACATCATGCAGCATCGGCCAGTGCAGAGGATGATTCAGCCGCCCCGGCACCGGATGTTCATCTGCTTGAATTAGAATCTAAATCATATAATATATATATAAAAATAAATAACCCAAACAATATAATATATAATATATATTATATACTAAACCCTAAACCCTAAACCCTAAACCCTAAACCCTAAACCCTAAACCCTAAACCCTAAACCCTATATATATATATATATATATATTTATGTCATATAAGTGCCTATACCCAAAACCCACTATCACGTGAGGCTGATGGAGCAGACTTGGCCGAGGGCCATGCTGCAGCCGAAGGTGTGACCACACCTGCTGAAGCAGAAGCTTTGCATCCGGTGCTCTGGCTTATGTCTACACATAGTTTGCACGTGTGATCGACAGACATCGAACCTAAGTCAGAATAATCCTAATTAATGTGTTTTGTATCGCCGGCACCTTGCCAAGCCTGAAGCATTGAGTGCTGAAGCATGAGTCGGGTTCAGGAACTCCGTATTAAATTCAGATGCACATATACATGCCATATGTTCCCTAAATCCCAGTCCATCAATCCCCTAAACCCTAAACCCTAAACCTCAAACCCTAAACTATATATATATATATAATAATATATATCTGAACCCTGCACCCTGCACCCTAACTCCTAAACCCCGTACACCCTAAGCCCCAACCTCGAGAACAAAAACAAATATATGTTACCCTGAATGTTCATGTGCACACACACACAACACACTGCCCCATGCAGGACAATGAAGCACTGCTGGACGAAGATCCATATGGCTTCTTCGCTAGAGCATCCGATGATGCAACGGTTCACTACTCGGCCCCTGCAAGCCCGGCTTCGGCTTCACCCTACCCGAGCCCCCCCCCTGCCTCGCCTCTCCTGCCACCAGATTTCCATGAGCATTTCGAGGAGCTGCCTGGACCAGAGGGCACAGCAATGCCAGATAAGAAGTTTGGCCACGGACATGATGTGGTGCACCCAATCGCGACTCCCCTGCGAAATATGTCAGCTATGTTTGACTGTGGGGCAGATACGGTGCCGGATGAGGTATTCAATGGGGATATTGGGTGCTTTGCTCTGATATCAAGCATGTCTGAGTGTGGTGCAACAAGTGAACCATCTGCAAGTGTTGTGGTAAGTGCAAGGGCTTCAAGTGTGGTGGCAAGCTCAGCAGCTTCCCATCCCGTGATCCCAGCCACTGCCATGATCCCGAGCAATGTGTCTGCAAGTGCTGCGCCAATGGAGGATGCTAGCTCAGCAGCTTCATGTCCTGTGATCCCAGATGTTATGCCTGCAGCCTGTCCAGTGATTGATGTGGTAAGTTGCTTGCCAAACCACGACATAAGCTCAGCAGCTTCCTTTGCCGTGACACCAGCAAGTGATGTGTGTGCAGCTGCAGTGCCAAACAGTTTGGCACCTTCCTCTGCCTTGATCTATAGTGATGTGTCTGCAAGTGCCCCGCCAATGGAGGATGCTAGTTCGACAGCTTCCCTTCCTGCTGTGATCCAGAGTGACGTGTCTGCAAGTCCCCTGCCAATGGATATTGCTAGCTCAGCAGCTTCCCTTCCTTCTGTGATCCCGAGTGATGTGTCTGCAAGTGCCCTGCCCACGGACCATGCTAGCTCAGCAGCTTCCCTTCCTGCCGTGATCCGAAGTGATGTGTCTGCAAGTGCCCCGACAATGGACCATGCTAGCTCACCAGCTTCCCTTCCTGCCGTCATCCCGAGTGATGTGTCTGCAAGTGCCCCGACAATGGACAGCGCAGCAGCTTCCCTTCCTGCCGTGATCCCTAGTGATGTGTCTGGAAGTGCCCCGCCAATTCACCATGCTAGCTCAGCAGCTTCCCTTCCTTCTGTGATCCCGAGTGATGTGTCTGCAAGTGCCCCGACAATGGACCATGATGCTAGCTCGCCAGCTTCCCTTCCTGCCTTGATCCCTGGTGATGTGTCTGGTTGTGCCCCGACAATGGGGCATCCTAGCTCAGCTCCCCTTCCTGCCGTGATCCCTAGTGATGTGTCTGCAAGTGCCCCGTCAATGGGCCAGGCTAGCTCAGCAGCTTCCCTTCCGGCCGTGATCCGTAGTGATGTGTCTGCAGGGATGACAAGTGATGTGGTGTGTCAGCCGGTAGCCCCACATGTGGTTGAAGGCCCTGCAAAGCTTTTGTGCCCCAGTCACCCAAGTGCCTCCTCTGCAAAGCTCTTGCAGCGAAGTGAATCCAAGCGCGACCTGACGCTGAAGATTGCACGCATGCAGGAGTTGAAGCATCTCGGCATCGATTTGGGTATATCTATAGGGTTTAGGGTTTAGGGTTTAGGGCTTAATATCTTCAGTGGGTTGCGGGTTTCGTGTTTGTAGGGTTCAGGGTTTAGGATTAGGCCGGGTTATATAATAGAACATATAATATAATATAGAGTATAATATATGTATATATATATATATTATGCCCTGTTTTAGAAATCATTTTGCAGCATGTTCTGTATATAAGGGTCTTGGGTTTGGGGGGGTATATATATAATATATATAAGGGGTTTGTCCGACAGGGCTTGCATGTGCTTCTCGATCTTCATAGCTGCAGCTCCGGGATGTTCGGGAGCCCAGTCCATGTTGCATTGCTTCAAGGCGAATAGATGACTGTTGTTCGTGGCATAGGACATGTTTCCATGAGTCCACCAGCAAGGGCGACTCGATCGGTCGGAACCGTTTAATAAAGCCTTACATGAAGACTTTCGTCCACCCGGCAGCTCGACGATCAATGCCATGGTTTGTTGCCACTCACAGTGTGACGTTGCAATAGCAACTCTTCTATTGTATGGCCAAGGCATATAAACCGAAATCCACAATGATTGAACTCGTGAGTCGAGAACAACTTAGTTATAAGCCGAAAAGGACTGCACAACAACCCCTTATAGATAAACCAGGGTTGAGGGTTTAGGGCGTAGGGTTTACATTGTCCCATGCAAGGATTCTGTCTTATCTCAGTCTTGTTTCTTGGATTGGGCAATCCTGTATAGGATATCTTCATGGTTCAAATATGCTAGCTTGCAATCTCAGAACTCGGCTTTATGTCAGCAAGGTTATATATACCTAATATATATATATATACACACACAACCTACATCTATACATAAAAGTTTATCCTGGGCCCCAAACCCTAAACCTTAATACCCTAAAGCCTCGAAGCCTTATCCTGGACCCCAAACCCTAAACCTTAAGACCCTAAAGCCTCGAAGCCTCAAGCTAGACCCCAAACCCTAAAACTTAATACCCTAAAGCCTCGAAGCCTCAACCTAGACACCAAACCTAAACCTTAATACCCTAAAGCCTCGAAGCCTCAACCTAGACCCCAAACCCTAAACCTTAAGACCCTAAAGCCTCGAAGCCTCAACCTAGACCCCAAACCCTAAACCTTAATACCCTAAGCTCTCCCTACCAAGGGCACAAATTGCTGAGAAGCGTGCTTCGCGGATCCTCGCCGCCAAAGCCCAGCAGATGGATGATGCTGCACAGTTGGATGCTGCACTACAAGGTGGCTCGTGTGCATGATCTGCATGCTCATGTGAATTACAGGATTGAATACTTATAGTGTTGAACAGAGTGACAATACTGAGGCCATGATCCTGCTGTTACCGACACATTGGTGTACGATGGATCTCAAGCAGCCCAAGCCTTCACTGCTGCCAGCGCTGATGCCAAGCTGCCCGAAACCCTGGAGACCTCGAAGGAGTTCTCAGTGATGGATTTCAAGGTCTATCCGGGAATCAAGAAATATGTGCTGTGCAAGTCCATATAGAGAAATCACATGATATCACAGTGTTATACCATACATGCTGCATGCAGGCTGTGCTCGACCGCAAGAAGCAGTTTGTGGTCGACGAGGCAAAGACAGGTCGTGGCCGTGGCCGCGGCCGAGGTCGTGGCAATGTGAAAAAGAAGCCAGCTGGTCGAGGTGGCAGAGGGTGTGGTGGTGGAGAGGAGCCCTGCTTTCGTCGAAAAGGCAAACAAGCACCTGATGCAGTGCGGAAGCGCAAGATTCAGGCCATCGAAGATGATGCTGCCGAGGCTGTCGAGACCTCGGAGGTGCTGTCTGGCGAGGAAGAGAAGGAAGAGGAGGTCCAAAGCCTTGAAGCCGACGAGGAGCCGGAGGAGGCCGCCAAAGGTGATGTGGCCAAGGGCAAACCAGGCAAGGGCAAGGGCAAAGGCAAAAAGAAGGCAGTGGTTGCAGAGGAGCCATGTGAGGAAGTGGGCAAACCAGGCAAGGGCAAGGGCAAAGACAAAAAGAAGGCAGTGGTTCCAGAGGAGCCGTGTGAGGAAGTGGGCAAACGAGGCAAGGGCAAGGGCAAAGGCAAAAAGAAGGCAGTGGTGGAAGAGGAGCCATGTGAGGAAGCGGGCAAACGAGGTGTGGGCAAGGGCAAAGAGAAAAGGAAGGCAGTGGCAGTGGTGGAAGAGGAGCCGAAGCCACCGAAGTCTGTGCCTGCAAAGGCAAAGGGAAAGGCCAAAGCAAAGGCAAAGGGTGACAAGAAGCAGAGCTCGGGAAAGCCAAAGGGCTCGAAAAAGCCAGATGTCGAGCCGGAGGAGCGGCCTCATTTCGCGAGGAGATGGCAACCAGAGGGGCTTCAGGCCAAGAATGAGTGGACGGTGATTCGGGATGTGTATGACAGCAGGATTGCCCGCGAGGTTCGTGTCGACGGCCCCGCACAGTACGCATTCTGGGCACGTGTCAAACCTCTCTTCCAGGGCAAGAAGCTGAGCCTACCGGATCTCTTGGAAGTGGCAAGACGCGAGGTCGAGCCCTTTTTGAAAGAGTACGTCGAGCAGTGAGTTTTGCCCGGTGTTCCAAAGCATGGATCGCGGGAGTTTTCTCTACATGATCGAAACATGTTCGCAACTTCGCACATGTTAAATTCGACCTCTGTGTGCAGCAGCATGTGGTGTGTCAGCGCAGCAAGTGTTTGAAGTGCTTTGCTTTTGCAGTGTCGACTGTGGTACAAACAACCGACAACGACAGCCTGCAAGCATGCATGCAAGCATGGTGTGTGTATATATATATATAGGGTTTAGGGTTTAGGGTTTAGGGTTTAGGGTTTAGGGTTTAGGCTGCATGGTATACGTCTGCATATCTTTAGAAACAAGGTTGTGCACACAGTGATGCTGCATTAGCTTCTGCAGTGCTTCACTAGGGCATGTGGGGGTGAACCTCCTCTTAAGGTGTCCTGGGGAATGCTGGCCGGGGAAAAGCTGTCCAGAAAAGCCATGTTCATGTGTGCTGCCTGAGACATGACGATTGCATTGCATTTGTTTCGAACGATACAGTCTGCAGGTGCGATGAGGCCATCGCAGAATGCCAGCAAGCTCCTGAAGATGGGGGTGGCCTTCGGCTGACCTGTCATGTTTGAGCTTGTGTGCTTTAGGTTGTTTACAGGGTAGATGTATATAGCTTGGGTGAAAGGGTCAAAACATAGGTTTAGCGTATAGGGTTGAGGGGCTTACATGGCTTTCGGGGTTAAGGTTTATGAGGGTTTTATTTCTAAGTTGTATATATCAGGAGTATATAAAGAGACTGCAGGATCTGTTGTTTTATGTGTTGGTATCTGCTGGCATATATATATATATATA